ATCAATTTTCTTCTTTTGCACCTTGTTGTATGTTAAATAAAGTTTTGAATAACTCGTTTTCCGTGTGGCGGTTTTCCAGAAGCTGTAATGAAATGTTTCACCAAAGTAAAATCTGCCTATATAAGCAAAGCAGAAACTATTAACCCAACAGCACCTTAAAAAATAAAACACTCTTCCTGTTTGAGTCTTTAGCTGTGGATACAAAGTGTTTTCAAATCCCAGTTTACCTTTAAAAGATTGCTGCATCAATCTTTTAAAGTCTAAAAATCAACATGAAGTATCTGACTTCAGCACCTGAGAAGCAGTGTATTAACATGCTAGAAATGACTGAAGCATACTGTATGTAAATTTAACCCAACTCCAGAGCAATCTGAGGTCAGAACCGCACCCTAAACCAGAACTGGCCTAATAGGCAAAGGTGGAAAAAGGTCAAAACATGACAAGTGTAGGAAGCGTGAAACACTGCTGCTGCAACAAGGAGTTCAAACATCTGTTATTTGGCTCAAGTCAACTAAAAGTGGAACAATCACTGTTTATTTTTTTAATTCCTAAAAAAAAAACCAAATAACAAAACAGTTTTTCCTGCACAATTTCGATTATCTGCTGAGTGACACTCCTTATTGCATGCAGTCAGCAAGTCATTCAAACACCAGCTGATCAGTCATCAAGCAAACCTAACCAACTAGCCAGGTGGGTAACTAGCCACGCAGTCATTCACAGGATGAAGAAGAGGAAATAAAAATGCTGCCAGAGAAAGCTGAGCAAAGCAAAACACACTCCAAAAGAGCTTTAAAAAAACAAAAAGAAACAAAACCAAAATAAATAAATAAATCCCCCCCTCCCCTGCAAAAACAAACACAGGTACAAATAAAAATACATAATATTACAAAACTTAAGTGCTTAAATTAAACTTAGATACAAAAACTTACCAAAAAGCACAAGTCCGGATTAAGCCAAGTTTAGCATGCAGAACACAAACAAACACAGAAACAAAGCAGAAAAACAACATAAGAGACACATTTTTAAGCACAGTTATACTGAATAAAGCAGTTAGCTACACACACAGTATAAACACACATACGCGCACACACACACATACACACAAACAGCTTTTTGCTAAATGGTGCTCTGACACAAACGCCATATGCTAACAAGTAAAGCTAAAAAGAAAAATCTGATGAGCAATGACTTTAGTTCACTTGACACACATGCGCACACACACACACACACACACACACACCTGACAAAGTTGTAAGAGATGCTGGATACCCAACGCCATCACACCAGTGTAGTCTTTACCTGGCCAGCCTATTTCCAGCCACTACTGGAAATTAACAGATCCTCATGCATATTCTGTCTCATTTTTATTCAACTTGTCTGAAAGAACAAAGTCCGCGGTAATCAGCAGTTATTCCCCTTGCTCTTATTTTGAAAGTTTAGTCACTGCCCTACTCATCTCATTATTTTGATTCCCTGGCTAGGCCGCTATGGTGGCAGTCTTTAATTGAACTTGGCTGCCTCTGTAGAAAGGTTAGAGTCTCGCCATCGGACGAACTGAGCTTGCTGTTTGAGCTGGAACTAATGATGGAAGTCTTTTCTATGCTCTGGAGAAAGTTGTGATAATCTCGAGGTAGCTGATTATATTTCTCAGTTTCTTTGTCACCAAATAAGTCTTTTAAGAAAATGTGCACACACAAGCACACACACAAAACTAAACCTGTGGGAAACCATCTTCTCAGCTATGTTGATGCATTTCTTTTTAGAATTAAACCCAACTCAAATTGCATTACATGGTCACATGACTGTGGAAGAGGATTAGGGCCACCCGAGGAAAAATGGGGATGTCTTTTGTAAAATTTTGTAATATTGTAAAATTATCAGGCACACTCTAATAGGGAAAAACTTAAATAAATAAATAAATCCTCAGATCTTCAACAAAAGATCAAAGCTTCCAAAAGCAAGGAAACAAACAAAGGCACCCAACCAAACAACCAGATCAACCAGCCACATGGAAACCCTACTCGATTCACGGGCAGTCAACAATACTCCAGCAGTTTTTTGGGGCTAGCTGAGCAATCCAACGCAAGATTAAAGTACACGCGGGCTTAATTAATAAATGGAATTTGCCTGACACAGGGTGTCAGGGAGGACAATGGTTTGTTACCTTACAGGAATCTCCCACACTGACTGCTAGGCACCTAAAAATGGGCTTAACATTTACTGAAGCACAAAATCAGAGTGATGTAGCTACCTGAGTAGGAAGTAAGCTTAATGAAAAAACAAATATACAAGTCCAATAAAAAAAATAAAAAGTAGAAATCACATTCAGAAACAACATAATTTGGCAATTGCCAGACAGAGTTTATATAAACAAGTTAGTAATGCAAGTGAATATCTCGCTAAACATTATATAGAATTAAATTAGCAAAAATACGTGTCATGTTTCTTAAGTATTTCGTTTGTAAACTAATACTTCTAATACTAATTTTACTTAAACTGATTACTGATTAGCAGCTGCTTTTACATTCTGTGCAAATTATCTGAAACACTAAACCTAATGTTTTAACATTTTCTTATACAATGATGTAATGCATGCCATTTAATAAGATCTTTTAATAAATGACAGTGCCTGGGTGTATTTCTGCCCTATATGTGTCGTGCAGGAGCTTTTTTATTTATTTATTTTCAATAAGATAACAAATTATAAATGCAACAATAAGAAGATATGGAGAGCATAAAAATAGAGCTGCACCCTAGATTCAAAGTGTGTAGTAACGAAGACAAATCAAATCATCTATCCTGCTAAAAAGACACTTTTTCCTTCCACTTCTCTTTGCATAATAGACGAATACGTAGGAATACTCACGTTGTTATTCCGCGTCTCCACTGCAGGAAACTTCCTGACAATAAATTTAACCGCAGACTCCAAGTTCTTATCGACGAGATAGGAGGGCTTAGCCTTGGGGTCGCCACATGCCTGTGGAGGAAAAGAGAAGAGGACGTGAGGAGAGAGAGGAAAAAAGAAATATGACAAGTACAGTGCTGCTACTGAAACACCTGGCTGTTTTACCCTTTTCTCACTTTCTCATAGTATGGCATGTTCAATTTGTTGTATTTACTGGGGTTGGATTTAGTGCTCATAGTGAAACCTGGTTTATCCCAGGACTGATATCGGAAGAGGCGTTTGAGTGAATGAAATATCAGCACTGCATATATTCAGTGGTGTTTCCAAACCAGAGGCATATTTAAGACATGAAAACGAACACACACACAAACTTGATGCAGTGGCATGTGCAGTCTTATTTTCCATTAAGATGCACATGCCAAAAAAAAGATTGATAGGGTAGATTTCCACCAGGCTGAACAAAGTTTGGAAGTCTGCGGTTTTCATGTTTGGATAAACCAGGTTCAACTGAGCAAGAGCCTGAACTTCTCAGTGGTTCTCAGCTGCTGAGCTGTAGAGATTAGAGATTTTAAATAGAATAAATACTTAAAATGGCTCATTTCTACTGATTAGACAGCTGCTTTTTGTGAATAATAACCATATAACCAATAACTGACAGAATTTTAATTGAAATTTAGTTCATGGTTATTTTAGTTCCGGTATTAAAACTGATAATATGTACCAACTAGGGGTGGGGGAAAAAATCGATACTGTGTAGTATCGTGATATTTTGTTTGCTAATAATGTATCGATACAGGGACAGCAGAAATCGATATTTTGTTACAAAAAAGGTTTTTGTGCTCTGACTTCAGAGCATGTTGATCCTTTTTCTGAGCAAGAATCCTGACATTCCTTCACTGTCAAAAAATCCCAATTTTAATTTACGACATGTTTTATTTTAATTAAGTTTAAAACTTTTTTATTTAATGTAAAATTATATTTTGTTTTAATTCACTTTCAAATTCTTCAGTTGCTGAAGGGGCTGCATAGTTTTCATAAACTGCATAGTTCAGAATAGCTATAATTGTACCAGATGGTTGATTCAGTTAAGTTGGACTAGACTGTAATACAAACCGTTCAGTTTGTCAACAATAAAACTGAAATGAGAGAAAGACTGAGTGCGAGACTTTGATATTAGATGAAATGAATATTGATAAAGTTTACCTTTATGTACAGAATTTGAATATTTTAAAAAATTGCAATAATATCGTATCATGAGTTGTATGGTGATTCCCACCTCTAGTACCAACTGGTAATATTTTTATATCTGTTTTAGTACATATGAAATTACATATAACTCGGCAGTCAAGGGTGGTGGTAGCATAATTCACCAGGCTTTATGAACCTCATGTCATGTTTTTCCTCACTGATAACTAAATGACTACCAGACTTAAGTCTGGAAAAATAATTCTGTCTTGAGTTAAATATGACAACTTATGACTGAAGCTATTAGGGTCCGTTCTATGACATCATATGAAAGGTATGAAGTGGGGATTTTGACTTACAGATTACTTTTACACATTATGACCTAATTATTTATGCATTTTCATGAAAAAAAGGTTTTTAAAAGGGTAAATTATAATAATAAATACCATGGTTGCTTACAGTTGAAATTTGCATTACTGTGTTATTATGATCAGTAACGAGATTATTATTATTATTATTCCACACGATTACTCAAGACGTTTAAGCAAATAGACGTTTTAAACTTCCTCCGAGTGGACTTCCTTGAAATTTAATTCTAATTCCAATGAAAATAAATAAGAAGGAAAGAGCTGAACGCCTGGCAGGGAGTCAATCTGAGCTTGTTGGAGTGACAAAAGTAAATTTGGTGGGCTGAAACACAAAACAAAAGCATTGATGCAAAACAGAATGCGGCATAATAATCATCTATTTTGTTTTAATAGTTTTTGAAGCTAAAACTTTAACTGAAATGAATATTTGATGAATTAAACAGCCCTTTAAAGCCTCCTTCAAGACAAACCACAGTATTTTAATAAATGATTAACTATTTCACTATTAACTTGGGAAATTACAATTTGGTTAAATTACCAGTTTTTAAGACTTTCGTTAAATATTGTTTAGTGATGGTTTACAGTAAACAATTAATCCTGAAAGTTTAGCTTTGTTGTCAACAACACAAATGAGGCTGAGAACCACTGAGAGTCCCGGGTTACAATGGTTTCAGTGTCAAACTGTGTCTCTGAGTGGTTAGTAACACCACTACATGACGGGAAGAGCAATGAGCAGGTAGAGGGAATGAAACAGGAGAGAGAAAGAAAAATAGGTAGAAAATGGGAAGGAGGCAGAAATTAAAGGCACATGGAGGCTTCAAGTGAGAAATGGCAAAGTAGGGCACAGAAAGAGAGAGATAGAGATAAGTGGTCAGAGAGAAAGCCTTTTCTTAGTTGAGTATTTTCTATCCTACATGAGCAGAATTAATTCACTGCACCTGAAACGCTGCACATTTCTGCTTATTCATATTCTAATCTTTCACTCTGCAGGTGTTGAATTGTCTGCCCTGACTGCCTGGCAGGAAGCAACAGCTCTCATGCATTATGGGTAGTGTAGTAGCAAATGGTGAGGAAGATGTGGTCCATGCATGTGCCATAAACAGAGTGAATGTGTAAAGTTTATTGGCTGCCAACACCGAGGAACGATCCTAGAAGAGGTCAGACCCTTTGTTCTGAGGATTCACTTCCTCGTGGTTAATGTTCAAGTTTAGAAAGTGGAAGTACACATTTAGAAAGGCCAGAAAAAGTAACATGAAGTTACCATTAGCTGTACTATAAATGCACTGTTTTCTACACTGCAGGAACAAATCATAGCTAGTGGCCCATCAGGCCTGCAAACAGCAACACAAGCATAAAACCTGGATTTCAGTTTGCATGGCGCTGAAAGGTTTCCAGCATCAGCCAGTACAAAATGAACCCGCAACACAACAACACATGCTAATTCACACTGACAACCTCGGTATCAAAACATGATGAAATGCAGGCTGGAGATTCAGGTTTTGTTGACACTCCCACAAGACAGCGAGCAGTAGCTCCATTTAAAGCTGTGTTGTAATACACCGCATCACTGACAATGGGTTTGGCCTTAAGACTCTGAAGCCTTTAAACAATGGCAATTAATGCCCTCTCTTTTAGGATTTAAAGTTTAATCACGCTTTAAATTTAAAAAAGGCAATAGCTACTATAGAATCACGTCAAAGCTTGTGGCTGGTTTAACCCCGGTTAAAGAGGAAACAGTGATAAGCAGCTGCTACCATTATGTATCTGCTAAAATTCAACTTGGAATGCAGAATGGTGCAGACACAATTTTAATTCCCTAAAACTATGACATGAAAAAGAAAATCCAGTCTACCCAGCGAGCATAATCAACTACAGTATATGCATTTTAGTAGAGACAAAGCCAAAACCCAGTTCTGCTCTGCATGCTTAGCTCTTACAGTTCTATAGCTGAAACGCACTCACTACTGCTGGATCTGAAACACATAACACATGTGGACACTATGAAGGGATTGGACACAAACACACAACACCAACAAGGTTTCAAGACCCATCAATGACAGAATGGACCTAGAGTCTCAGCTTGTTTCCTTATGCCCACCTCTCTCACACCAGGTCAGACAGCAGCCAGACAATGCTCAAAGGCTAAGTGAAAATCTGCTCAAGTGTACGAGAGGCAGGCTGAATTTTAACTAGGTTAAGAACAAGGAACCAAGATGTGACTGTTAAATCCATGCAACTGCAAAAAGCACAAGCCTGACTTTGCTAACACAGCACTCATCTGGTGACAGCACCACTAGGGTTCACCCAACAACAGACTAGTCACTATGTCTGCAACTGTAATGTAGTTACCCTCTGACTCACACCAGGGAACTGCAGAAAAGACATTGATCCGTTACTACATCACATTGATATGCTAAACGCAGTGTTTTATCATGTTTTAGCCCAAATTCAAAGCATAAGACAATTCATTTATAGTTGTTGTAAATTACATTAACAACTCTACATAGTCAGCAACTTCAACAGTTTTAAACTGAGTGTAACAGTTATTAGAAGAATTATGTGTGTAATTATGTATTATTTATGCATTTAGTGATAGTCTGTGTATTTTTAAAGTCACAATTTTTGAAAGTTTAGCACACAAAAGTAATCTGACACAACAGACAAACATCAGTCCCCAGTATGTTTAAATGCCACTTTATCAATCAACAGGACCAATGCTGCCTGATATGGATATTCAGCCAGTCTGTTAGCGACGTACTGCTAAGTTTTTAACACACAATAAAAAAAAAAAAAGTACTTAATTTAATTATGTGCTTCCGGTTTGACTTTTCACCTTCAGAGCTCATACATGTGATTCTATATAGCATTTCTACTGATTCTTTAAAGTTAAATATTAATTAAAAAAAACCCCAAAAAACATTCCCACAACCCTTCAAAAACTCTAAAATAGGGAGGAAACACACACTGAAATTTTTTTATATAAACTCCTATTACTTGAATGATAGTTTGCCACTAATATCAAGTCGAGTGAGTTGCAATCAATGGGCTAAAACATGCAAAACCCCAATTCTGATTATTTTTCAAATTGTATAATAGTATATTAAAGAGATTTCTTTAATTTCTTCTTATTTGGGTTCAGTTAGGATAACTCTTTGGGTATTATTGACCATTTTATTTTCAGAAGAACAGACCATAATTGGATAACTAACATCTTAGCATCACAGATCAAAGACATGAATACTAATTAAAATTTGACAGAGTTCATATGGCATGGGACTGTCTGTTAGTGCTGGTGGTGGCTAGTGCAATAAGCTGGTTGGCTGGGTTTGGGTGGGGTGGGGTGGGGGCTGATGGCGATATGGATGGAAGGAGGGGCGCAGTGAATGAAGGGACAGGGCATGGGAATAAGCTGAGAATCAGTAGTGGTCAGGAAGGAGTAAGGGAGCTGTTGCCTGGATACCAGAACAGACCTCAGTCTCGCCTCCACCATCGTTTCTCCACTCCGGGCAGCAATTAAACAGCTGAGCTTCTCAAAGGGTCCCCGCGCTGACCGACATATGGCAGGGGACCATGGGATACTTAGCAGCGGGCCAAGGAAGCACACATCTGAGGACTAATTACAGTTGCTAATTACTAGATGCAATATTTGAACGCTGCTTGGCACCTACTGAGTGACCCTTCAGAATCTGTGAAAACTACCTCCTCCCTGAGATGATTTCATTTTTGCCTGTCATTGCTCTCAGTGTGAGTGTGAGCGCCTTCATTTTCACAAGGAGGGATTAACTGCTGGGGAAAAAAAGAAACAGAAAGTTCCCCAAAGAATGGATGGATGGTCTCATGTGATATGAAACCACTAAAGCGCTACTCCAACCTGCTATGACTGGTTTACTGCCTGCTGGCATGAGTGTTAATCTTTTTTTCTAATACTATTGCATTTGTTAACCTTATTTTGCTTGTTCTTTATCAAAATGTAAAATTAATGTCTAGTCCAAATTTGAAAACAGCAAATGTTGGGGTGATGCAATTATTAATTAGACTTCTAAAAAAGTCACCAAATTTATGACGCTTTCACCCAGAATCACACAGATTAAAAGAAATAATTGAGGCCACTAAGTCGGCAGCAACTACTGGTTGTTAGGGAAATCATCAGGTGTATTTCTTGACTGGTTGGCAAGTGAAATCAATCGTGAAGATGGTGCTGCATAAAAAGCCTCCTTATGATTGCTCTGGTTACTGGCAGACTGTCGCGGTTGTATATAAGATGCAGACTTGTCTGAAAAAACTTGGAGAACATTCACCTTCAAAGTAAATGCTTTAACCAACATGTTTCAAAAGAAGCAACTTTTACTTTGAAGGTAAATGGTCCCCATTCCAGTTTCTATTGCACTTTTTCCAATTTTCACTACCGCTCAACCAGTAGTTAGTGAATGTTTTAGTGCAGCATCT